AATTTAAGAAATAATAATTCAAAAAAGTTTATATTAGTAAAATTTTTTTTATAAAAAATATATAATAAAAATTTTTACATTCAAATAAATTCTAATATCTAATAACTTAATTAAATTAGACAGAATTAAAATTTTATTTTGAAAAAATAATCTATTAATATTTATTTGATATGCTAATCTTTTTGCACCAAATCATATTATGTAATTAGAAAGATCAAATAATAAGATATTTCAATTAAAGCAAGATAGTAATTATGTTGAATTTATTAATATAAAATAAAGCTCAAAAATTCATGTCATAACAGTTATTGATTATCTAGAAGTTTTTGAGTTACAATAGTCTGGTGATGATTGTGATAAGTCATGAAGTTATCAATTAATTTACTAGAAAATTGACTTTGGATAATATTAGAATAGAAAATAATATATTATGATTGTTGTAATAATCTTTTCACTTTGATTTGAACTATAGATCATGTTGTAATCTTTTGTTTTTGATGCAATTCCTTTATTCAATTGTAAATATTCTCTTTCAATTCAGGATATTTTGGTGGCTTTTTTTGTTGATTTATTAAATATGGGGTGAAACATGCATTAATTCTTCTTTTTCATTACACCAATTTCTTGGATTAATATTAAAAGCAGTAGCTATTGCATGAATACTATGACTTGGATGCTTCTCAAGATAAGTTATAATAGCAATTTTTTCACGCGCATTCCGTTGCCATCTTTTTTTTCAGTAATACAAGTGCATCCAACATTTTTATTTGCGTGTGGCATTTTTGATCATACAAAATGAAGATAAATTGGCAAAAAAATTAAATCTTTGATGTCACGTTTTTTATTTTCATATAAGTAACTTGTGTATTCCCATTAAACAGTATCCCCTTGCTATAATACCCTCCCCGTAAATAGTACCCCCGGGTACTATTTAAGAAATTTTGTGGTTTCTTGAATAGTACCCCGGCCCGGGTATTGTGGTCAGTGCTCTACGGTAAAAGTAATATAAATATTGAATTTTTGTATTTATATTATTCATATTTATATAATTTGGTGTGCTGATAAATACATAACAAGATGAATCATTATATATGATTTTCATTGATAAGCATTACTAAGCAACGATATCGATGTGTCATAATGCCAATTTGGGTCGTGGGAATATTTCATAAACTATAAACTACCCAACTGGTATTTTTATTATTTATTTATTATTATTAGTATTATTATTAAATATATATATATATATATCTTGGTAGATTTGCCGCGCTCAGAATTTTCAGCTTGCAAAACCGGAAAAATATTAACTACGAATCAATTGCTTCATTTTCTAGTTGTTAACAAGGAGCAACCTTGCACTTATTCTGTCTCTAAAGGTATGTAGAATGAACACGACTCTGTATTCTGGTTTTTTTAATTTCGTTTATTATTTACAGTTACGATTCGTTATTTTCGGTGTTTACTTTTATTTCTACTAAATAGATTAAATTTTTTTCTTTTTTATGCGAGTCACTTTCTTTTAGTGGTTGGTCTTTGTTTTCTTCCATCTTTAGTGTTTGGTAGTTGTTGAGTAAAGGATATACTTACCGTGTCTCGAGATTTTTTCAGTCGATAGATTTACCAATAGATTCATTGTTATTTTGTTTCTGTGAACAATTGAACCCTTTAGTTCTCTTCGAGAATTAGCTTTATTCTTTTTCATTATTTATAGCAGATTAGATGTACTTGGACAATTATTTAAAGGGGTTTCTTCAGATCGCAAATACAACATTACAATCTTTGTTTTATCCTCCTTCTCTTCTATCGATACGCGTTTTGGTTACTTACTTCATCAAAATATCCAAATTCTCTTCTAACCATCTATTATTTTCTTTGTTCATTCATTATTCTTTGCAGAAGCGGTTCGATACATTGTCAACACAAGAACTTATCAATCGATAATTAATTAGCAAAAATGTCTGCGTCAATTTCTGTTGTTGATCAGTCAATAGTTAGTGAAGACATCAATAAAACTGAAAACATTAATAGCAACAACACTGCTAATTCTACTAGTACACCATCACCAACCACAACGGCAAATTCAACTACAACGGCAAATTCAACTTCAACAGCAACAAGGAATGCACATGGACAACAACCACCACAACAAACCTCACGACAATCTACAAATCCCTCTGTACGGCCACCGTATCAAACTGATACAGAGCCGCCGCGTGGAATTAATTTTAAAGTTATATTTCATCCTGGTTTACACGTGGATCATTGTGGGAAATATGGGAATAGGAAAGTGTACCGTTTAAACGGTCAAGTAGGGCCTCATGTAAGCCTATTGTTTTTTTTAATCACGACCATATAAGAAAATATAACGAACGAATTCATTCAGGAATCTCCAATCATATTGACGGATCCAAGATTGACTACCACGCAGAGGAAGCCTCGACTGAGGCAAGAATTAAAGCAGGGACTGGAATTAACAGAATTTCTGGTAACTATGTAAACAAAGCTATATGTTATTTTTTTTATAATTAGTCACGACAACAATAGCAATTAGAATAATAGAAATCGTTCATAAGAAAATTTTTCCTACTCTTATGTAATAGTATGATAAAAATTCACGCGGTCCTCCACCACCCACATCAATTCTCCTCTCTAATCTACCGGTGATGAAAGAAAGCACAATCAAGGCCATGTTCCTAGAATATGGTCGAGATCTGGACATACAATTAGAGAATAATCCGATTACTGGCGGATTTATAGGCTTGGCGAGGATTACATACATAGGGGAAAATCCGAGAACTGCTGCACGGAGGGCCGTAGAAAAAGGAAATGGACGGCGCATTGGTAGTAACAATGTAGTGGTTGAATTTGACCCAGATGGTATGTGTAATACCAACCAGTTCTTTAGTCCAATCTGTATTTTTTATTCAAATATTAAACTTAATTCTTATATAGGATCCAAGTTAAGACAATCAGTAGATGCATTACTGCTTAAACAAAAATTGACTACGCCACAAATAAACACTACATCATCATCATCATCACATTCAAACAACAACACCACATCAACGTCATTTTCACAACAGAAACAAAGAAAAATTACACCATCTTCACATAATAATGATGATGACATGGAGATTGGTGACGCTCCGATACCGCCATCAATACCACAACTGTCACCTCCATCTTATCCATACATAATATCCTCTTACGCTGTGCCGCCCATCCAAAGAATGAACGGATCACCCCTTTCTTTATACCCTAATAGTCTGCCGATGACGCAAACCAGATTTTATCCACAGAAAAGACCACCTGAGCGACCATTCCATACTTCGACTTCCTCTCCTCTTAACAATAAACCATATTCTAAACATGATCCAAATTCGCTTTACCATTACAATGTTCCGACACTATCAAATAATAATAATAATAACAGATCCGTACATGATATGTATTCATCACAATCAAATAATTATTCTAGGAAACAAAAACCAACCTTGCCGATTTCGCCTAATAGATTCGAACCCCTGACACCACCTCTGCCACAAACCGATAAACGATACTCATTAGCAAGGCCGGTAGCTAATGATTTTAAAGCGCTTTACTCGTATCCTGATGATGAGAAAGAGGACGGCGAAATTGATCCATACTATGATGATGATCGAAGACATGATCAATATCGACATCAACCGACAATTTCACGTCCTAGATCACGAGAAGATGATCTGCATATATCCGGTAATGACATTAGAGATCGTTATGATAGATGGCAGGCGCCAAGTAGAAGAGACCTTGTTTACTCAGCACGTCCGCAGATGAATGATGATTGGTCTCGTGACAGCAACTATAAACACCCACCGCCGCTGCCGCCTCCTGCCAATCGAAGTCGAAATCCGTCAGAACCTAGTTTTAGTCGAAATAGAAGTCGTAGCAGCAGTAGAACAAGAGAATCTTCTAATAAACGTGCTAAAGATCAAGAAAGGCCTTGTGAAAATGAGGATACTCATCCGGTATATACTATATTTGAAATTAGTTTTGATTACTCATTATTTATATGCAAAATTTTTGTTTTTGATTAACTTGTCTCGTATTTTAAGAAGCATTACAATAGCTTCGACACATCCAATAAATCTTCTTGGTTAGTGACCATATCACATTCGAGTCTACCTTTTTATAAGGCGAAGATAGTGGATCTAAAACGCCATTTTGGATCCTATAGTTTTGAGAGAGTATGCATAATTTTTTTTGAAAAATAATTTTGGTGTTTTTTTGACGATTTTTTTATATTCGGTTTTAGATAACTCAAGACGATAAAGAATGGTGTGTTTATTTCGCAACAGAATCCCAGGCTCGTCATTTTTTTAAAGAAAATAACAAGAAGCGGGTGTTTGATTGTGAAATCCACTTGAACCTTTATCATCAAAACAAAAAACTCGACCATTCATCTTCTTCATCTCACTATAGTCGAGAGAAACAGAGCAAAAGTAGTATTTTGGTATCATTATTGTCATCACACAACAATGCCGACAATATACAAAAAAGAGAAGAACAATCTTTTAACAATGCTCCTGTTCCGCCTCCGCATCAACTGACAGACGTGTCTCAGATTTTGCAGCAGTCCACCAAAATACTCATTGGCGAATTATCCGAGGTTTTTCAAAAGGATATAAAGAATAAGTTTGTCGGCAAATTCATTTTTGATTATCTCACACCAAAGATCCAAGAGCGAAAACAGCAGCGACTGACAAAATTAAAATCCAAGAACGAGGAGAAAAAGCAACAACCGGAAATAGGTACTAGAGAATTATCTGAACTTGGGCCTTTTGAATCAAAATATACAATGTTGCATTCTGCAAAGCTGCCCTCGAAATCAAATGGGAATGGATTGCGGGATTATGATTTGAAATTCCGAAAGAGTGATAGTGATTTCCGAGATCGAATGTCTAGTTATAATAAAGACCAAAAGAAGTCTTCATCTACTGCTACCATTCGTAGCATAAATAGTAATAAAAGACCGCATCCGAGCTCTAAATATGACAACAGCCGGTCTAGCAAAAAGATTAAGGGCAGAAAATCTCCTCTATCAAAACGACCAGCTTTTGAATTCACAGATTCTGAGAGCGAAGACGAACAAGAAGAAAAGAATGAAGATCTAGCCACTTGTTCCAATAAGCAAGAAGCGTCGTCTAGCTCTGAAGAAGGAGAGATACACACAGACGATGAACTATTTCCAGAAAATCAAAAATCTCTACCCTCTAAACAAGAGTTACTCGAAAAATCTAAACATGCGCCTCTTAAAGTCGAAAAACCACGTCATCAACAACAAAGATTACGTGATTATTTAAGCGAGGATGATGACTCGGATCCTAAAAATTTTCTAGAAGAGTTCAATAAACATGAATCTCAACGAGAACAAAAGAATCATTCTCCTGCTAATGAAGATTTAATGAATGTTGACAAATATGAACTTTTGACTGACGATATCATCAATAAAGTAGATCGTCTGCCGAAGAGAAAAAAGAGACGTTTATCGAATCAGTCTTCAAAGACAATAAAGCGGCTTACCAAAAGTATTGATTTCACCAGCAGCGAGAGTGAGGAGGAACCTGAATTAAAACACAAGAATGACACTGCTGTTAAGTCTACCAAGAAAATCGTTATTCCTATGTTCAAAGTCAATAATGATAACATTAATAATATTAAGAAAGAACAACCGCAGAAACAAGAAGTTTCAGAAACAAAACCAAAGACATTAGTTATTACACATACTGGTAGCGGTAATGATTCTAAAAGAATATCTTTAATACATCTGGACAATAAATCAATAATTCCTCCCATTAAATCAGAAGAGAATAATGAGCCAACTTTAGTGCTTACCGATATTGCTGATGAGAGTGAAAAGAATAGCTCAGAAAGTGATCTTGAGGATAGAGAAGAAATCGACTCTGAGTGTCAGGATGATGATAAAGCTAACTCAACAAGTGGTGACAATAAAAATAATGAAGACGATGATAATGTTGCAATCGGTTATGCTTCTGATAATGAAGCCGACATTGAATTTACAGATACATTTGAATCCGCAGTTCCAATGAGCATAGATCCATACGAATCGGTTGAGGAATCTGACTTCGATGAAGAAGAAGCTGAAGAACCTTCATCTCCTGGTGAAGTCTGACAAAGAGGATTTTTACATTCTTAGAAATAGTTGTCAAGGAATTTGAACAAGATCCTGCCATATATACCAATGATTCTATGGGAGCGATCAATTATGATGCCATCGGTATGGATTGAAATTTTAAAAAAGTGAATAGTCAATGATTCTTAAAGTTTATTATAAAATAGCAAATAAATGAATAAGATGTGTTATGATAGATTTTATAAATAAAAGACTAAAATTTGTTATTATTATTATTATTATTATTATCTTTGAATAATTGAGTTGCGCTATTTAAATATAATTTTCGTGCATGCTTATTGTATGTATTAATAAATAAATGTTATTAGATCATTATTACAAAAAACGCAAACAAGAAATTGCTGCCCGGGTCAAAATCCAACAGGCTGATTTATATAAAATAATTAAAAATAATCTAAATTAATATGATAATTAGATAGCACATGATGATCATCCGCAATTAATTTAATATATGATGATCATAGAGTGAAATTGATCATTAAAATAGTAATACAAAAGATAAAAATGCAGAAAGCACAAAATAAAAATCTAAGTTAAAAGAAATATAACTAATTAAAATTGTTACAAATATATTAATATATAATTTTATTAGTAATTTTATTTAATATAATGATTTATCTTATTTTAATATATATTATCATATTATTTTACTAAATATATAATTCTGATAAAAAGTAATAGTAATAATACTTTTATGTATGTTTTTATGCAGTATAAATTTTTGCTAAAATTGAATCAAATCTCTGATAAAAATATTAATTAATAAGATAATATATTATATTTTATATTTTACTTAATTATCAAAATATTTACTAAATTATATTAATTATTCTTCATAAATAATATATAATACTATAAAATTAAAATGTAAAGTTATTAAATACTTTTAATATAAAAAATATTATAATATTACTAAAATAGCTAATAAATTAGAGTTTTTTATTCTGTTAAATAATTTATATATTTTTTTATAAAAATAATAATATTTTAATAATTCATTTTTTTAATTAATAATATTATTAAATTAAAAAAAATCTTGAAATCAAATTACTTTATTACTTTAATTAAAATATAAATATGACTTAAAAAATTTATTCAGATTTTAAAATCAATAATCAAACTATTTATAATAAGCTTTTTAAACTTAATTATATTTTAATACTATTAAGATATATTTTTATTTCTTATTTAATACACAAAAAAAATTAATTTTAATAATTATATAATTATATTAATTATAATTAGAATAAGATTATATTTTTTAATAAATATCTTTATAAATATCTATTATATATAGTCTTATTTTAATAAACTAATTATATTAATAATAAAATATTTATTTAAAATTTATATATTAGATAAAATTATATATATAAAAAAGTAAATATATATATACAGTGGCAATCAAAAATAATGCAACGCTTAAATTTTTTACTAATTATAATTAGTAAAATATGTATTT